TTCGTCTCGATAAAATTTAGAAATCTATTAAATTATTTTATATTATACAATTGCTAAAAAAATTGACAAGTTTTTGTAGGTTTCCATGGGATTTTTTTTAATTCATAATTGTTCTTCTTATTTTATATTACTTATGAATTATATTTAAACTTTTATCACATTTTCTATGGGATTGTGATATCTATGAGATTTTATCAAAATTTTTAATATGTCACTGTCTACTATATATTTTTCTTACATTTGTTTTTTAATAGTTAAATTTTATTTAAAACATACTAATGATGTTAATTTTTTTTTACTTTAGTTAACTTTCATTTGTTTTATTCTTATATACTTTTTGTGACTTTTTTAGTTTTTGTTTCAGTTTAATATTGAATTTAGTTCACATACTTTATGTGTATATATTTTAAAACATAATTTTTCTTTTAAAAAATTAAACGACAAAGAGCCTAATTAAACCGATCCAAAAACAAACCGAACTGAATATAAATTGAACTGGACATAAACCACACCAAACCAGATTTAATAAAGTTTACTTCAGTTGAAAAAAATATATTAAAACCGAACTAAACAAACCAAACCGAAAAGTAATGATTTGCCCATCCCTACTGCATCCTAGAGATTTACGCAAATCTTGTTTCAACATTGAAACTTTCACTTATTCCACTAACTCCCACATTTGAACTCAATAGATACTTCTGTCTCAGCATTATACTATATTTTTATACCTGCACAGGGTGTGGGTGTGTCACCTAGTATATAGTAAATAATAAGTCATGCCATACATAGTGTCATAATTGTTTTAAGGAAACATCATCACATTCGTCCACATATTACACATAACCGACCCTCTAGATTTCATAAGCCCTTGGTAAGAAAAAACAGCAGCATCCTAAACCATAAATAATATATAACAAAATACAACATCTCTTTCTTCTTCTTCACAAACAACTTCACACGAAGGACCAGTTCACGAGGATAAAAGCCAAGCAGTGATTCGACTCATTGTCGTCAAGAACTTTCCAAACCGTCGCTTGCTCATACGAAACTGGTCTCCCCATGCTCGACACACATATTCCCGCCGGAAGATTAGCATATCCCTGAAGATTCCATTCAAAATTATAAGGAGAAAAGAAAGACCAAAAACTTTCTCCGCAAAAAGAAGAAGCAAGCAAGATAATATACCTGTTGCATGATCTTAGCGAACTCAGAGCAAAGAGCTTTACGACCAGGGTCATCTAGAGTCTTGTCCAGCATTATGTCTTGAAGTGCCACCAGTGTAGTTTCAAGCATGTCTAAACCGGCTTGGTTTGCAAATGTGAATACCGGTGAGGCCTGATAAACCAAGAAAATGAAATTAACATTTCACCTAAAGATCTCTAACCCGGTCTTAGACAGAACCAAAATCACACATGAATAACTAATTTGAACACTGGACCAAAAAAAGCAATAAAACGAGTAAAATCCTTAATTCTTACATTAGTTTTGAGGGAGCAGCACAATATGGCACCAGAATGGTTCCAGAGTTGCTTAAGCAATGTGTCCCCATCACAACCTTGAGTATCAGCTCCGAACATGTTTGCTCCTGTATGCATGCTAAACCATCCAAAAGAAACAAAACAAATAAGAAAACATGACTGAAGATCACAGCACAAATTAAATTGTCCGCTTAGATTACAGTTAAGTTTACCTGTAACTACGTGAGATCCAACGAGCAAGAGTGAGAGCTTCAGGGGAAGTGGGAAACTGCATGGAGCCAGGACGAGGCCTAATGGCTAAAGCCACTCTCTGAATAGAGCCAACAACATTCCTCACGTACTGCCTCGCCATTGTAGCAACATTGTCTCTTGAATGGTTATCAAATGTGAACTGGAAGGCTATGGTTAAGACCAATCTTGAGTTTGTTTCTGCATCAGTTTTGGTTGAACCATCTAGAGATGATGCTAGATCCCTTGTTCGATTCACAGATGGATGATCATTCTGTTACAAAAACAAAAAAGATAGATTTAAGTTTTGTCAATTGACTATAAAGAGCACATCAAATGGCTCTTCAAAAAAACAAGTATTTATTTTACCGGAGAGGTTTTATGGTCAAGGGGTATGACACGGAAGCCAGAAGGAAGCAAAGGTGCATCATCAGCAAAGGATTCATCAATAGGGGCAAAGACAAGCTGAGCGCAACCTCCAACCACATTTTCATCAACACCGCTGCAAAGCTGGACAGAAGCATAAAAGTAAGACTTAAATTTCAACAACATAGCTTTACATATCAAAGAAAGTGTTTTCACACCTGCAGTAAATACATATATATCCCGAGATAAGGTAATGTCTTCAGGTGAGTAAGCATGGCCTCCGAGTCTAACCACTTCCAGAAACTGGGAAACAAGTAACCAATATCTCTCAGTTCTAAGCAGTGATTATAGGCAAGGTTAAATAAGAGACAGAAAAAAAAGACAAGGGTCTTGAGATTATTCTTTTTACCTCTTCATGTTCGAGTGTCTGTGCTAGAGGGAGAATGACTTGGTTACTCGGGAACCCACCGGTTCTAACGCATGGAACAGCGAATGGAGTTGCTCTGAGAGATGCATCACAATAAGCATCAACTCCATAGTCCGCCCATTCAGCTCGGTGTTCTCTCAAGAACCGAATCAGCACAACTGCACAAGGGGTGGCACATTCTTCAAGTATACAAAAAAATAAGAAATCGGAGTTAAGACATTAAAGAAACTGATTCATTTAACCTCAAATCATGATATAAGCACCTGCAACAACATAGAAGCTTTGGCACAGAGAACACCGCTTCCAAAACTTGGAAGAAACGAGTTTCCATACTGAGAGCCAGCGAATTTAGCAGAGGAAGAGTTGATCAAGATAGTAATATCCTCTCCTCCATCACTACTCATTGGGGACCATCCATCATCAGCAAAACCATTCACAGCATCATTGAAACCCCTGACGTTTCAAGAAAACCAATTAGAACAATGCTTGAGACGGTAAAAAGCAGCGCTTATGGAGGAAATGTAAATTACCGGCAGAGTCTTTGGCGAAAGTTCTCAAGACTGCAGGCTGGCGTCCACCACTAAACTGAACTTCTCCATTAGTCTCTTCAGCAATTTGCCTCACATGTCTCAGAGCCTGACATGTGGAAGTAAAACTCAGAAACACAAAGCTTAACAAGGTTACTGTTGGGTTTGGTTTATAAAGGAACTTACAGCAACTGTCATTTTCTGAGCAAGGATTTTAGAAGATTCATAGAGAGGCCTCAGGACTTCAGGAACACTTGAAACCTACCCAAAACAAAAAAAAAAAAAAATAATAATATCAATCACATTAAGGAGGAGATCCAAAATGTGTTTTTATCAATGAACGCTTACATCCAAATCAAGATGATCAACAATGTGGATAATGGAACCACCACCATCACAAGGACGGATAAGAAACCCGCTTGACAGCATCTTGGCTCTCACAAAGCTCGAAGAAAGTGGACCATTGGGGCCACCAGTTGCAGCAGTGAGTGACTTCTCACAAACCTGAGAGGAGGAAAGCAAATTTTGTTAAGAGAAAAAAATATAAGAGAACCAAACTAAAAAAAAAAAAAAAACTGATGTCTCGTCTGAAAATTCACATTACCTGCAGCGAGCTTTGGCCTGTTGTTGGATTCACAGAGAAAATAATTAAATTAAATTTCAAGGATAGTAACCAGAAAAAGCTCACATATAAACTCAAGTCTAGGAGATACTTACGGCTCAATATCGTGTAACTTAGCCACTAAAGTCTCCAAATGTTGCACTCCATTACTGTATGCCTTCTTTACACGGTCTCAATTCCATGATGAAAGACACTCGATTTTTGGTAGCTTGAACCATTGCCATAGCTGTTTTTAAAACTTGCTTTCGGTCTACAGACATTAGACATCGTTTATATATTGTCAAACTTTCCTAATGGTATGAGATTGACATATTTAGCATTTAATTTCCAACTTCTCACGCAAGTTATCAAATATAATGTAAGGAAAGTAAATAACCTAATCAAATTTTAGAGATACGATTCTCATAAATAATACCTATAATTTTAACCTGTGTCAGATTTTTTTTTAAGACCTCTAGATTCACCTCTATATATATCAAGTGAATGTTCTCATATTAATGACGCCAATGTAATATTCTTACAATAAATAATGAAATCTTTTAAGGAAAGATATTAAATGTGTATTGTCATAAAACGATATGCATATGATATAATTTTAACTTGCGCAAGTAATCAATATTAGTAAGGTAAGTTAATAAAAATAAGTTTCCTAATTAGATACAAATTGTTAAACGTCATTAAGCAATGTAATCAATATGATATCAAGAGTAAATGATTTACCGTATTTGTAATAAGGAAACTTATTAATATATGTATTAATTAATATTCTTGTGCAAGTAATATGTAATGAGGTTAGTAATTAGTGCTGCTTTCCTATTAGGTTGTCGATGGTAAAAATAAATCAAAAAATAAATTCTAAAAAATCAACCAATAGAATCGCTAGAATTCTTCTGAGAAGGGCTGTGTGAGTGACACGTGTCAAAGTGACTTCTCTTTTAATGTATAGGAGGATGCCAATCCAGTCAACCAATTTTTTAATTTCAAAAAATTACACGCTGGCTTGTTATAATGAATCGTTGCCATGGTAGTTGGGCTAACAACACAATTTTAAACCCTGATGTCTTCACCATGCAGATAAAAAAAAAAAAGACTTGGTAGTTTTGATACGGAGGAAATGTAAAGAGAGGAAGAAGGTAGTTTAAAAAAAAAAAAAAAAAGAGGAAGAAGGTGCATGCAGACACAAGAGAAACAAAGTGGACAGGTGCATAAGAAAAAGTGCCATGAGTCACGTGCTCTTCCACTCGACCACGTGCCGTCTAAGATACTCCGATTCGATTCCAAATTTAATTGGAACTTAACTTTGGATTAATATACTATATGTAATTAATTAACTAAGTAATTGGTAAGATTAAACACATGCGAATGCACGCAGTTGCAACTTGGCACTTGTATTACGGAGACCGAGATTTGTTATAGGTGTTAATTATTTTTACTTGTTAGGTAGAGTAGTTCATTCAACATACTCAGTCATCTTAATTGTCTGATATATTTTTTTCACAATTGAGTGTCTGATATAAGCGTATGTATTTTTGTAAATCTGTCTATCTATATAAAATTACCGGTTATGTGTTGACAACAAACAAAAAAAATTACTGGTAGTGTTTTACCACATAATAACCTTTTCGTCACAGAAAAAGTTGTCGGTGATACTCATTTCACCGATCTGGTGACAGCTTTTTATAAAGAGAAAAGGGAACTATCCGAATAAAAACAAGCCGTTACACATTGGATTTATTTGTTCATTCTCATTCCACTGACTCTTTTTTTTTTGTTAACCCATTTATTCCACACACTCAACTTTTGTTTAAAAATATTCTTTTTAATTTAATTATTTCCAAAATTGGCATCCTTTTTAGATTTAATCTCATTTAAATTGGATCTATGCCTCTGTGCTTGTATGTATTAAATTGCCTGAAACGAATGAGACAAGACTCAATGCCATAAATATTCTTCTTGTTTAGTTGATGAAAAAAAAATTCAAAATCCAAGCAATCCAACAAACTATCTTATAACGTTTTTCATGAGTTTGTGTTACGTCTGAAATTTCTTTAGTTAATCAGAATCTTGACATTTGAATCTTGTGTTAGAGAAGAATGAGAAAAAAAGCTAAAAGAAAAAAAATGTTAAAAAAATTAACATGTTCAAAAGAAAAACAAAAAGTATGAGATAGTAATCACAAACCTTAATGATTGTGTTTAAGCAAGCATCTTTGCAGTAGCAAACCACATGCAAAAGTCTTTTAGGTTGATCTACAAATCTCAGGCTTCACGAGACGAAAAAGATAGGGTCCCCTCCTCTACACACCTCAATGAGAAGTTAGATGAAATTCAATTATCAGACTTTGGTGTGTAATCCAACAACCTCCATAATCTTTTTCTTTTTCCTTCAGCTTCAAGACTCATTATCATTACCACTTTACTCACTACCCCACACAACTTCAACTCAATCACCGGTAAGACAGTGACTTAAAAAAAGACAGAGCATGGACCCAAACATCAGCAGAAATAGAACAAGAATTGGCGTTGGAGGAGCCGTTGTTGCTGCAGGCTCTGTTTGGGAAGCGAGAATGCAGAGCAATGACGAAGCTAGTGTTAATAACGCCATTGTTAAAGCCGTTGACGGAGACAAGGATTGTAACAAGCAGATGAGCTTAAAGGAGGTTAACGGAAAGCGACCCGCATGGAAGACAGATATGAAGCTCACGAGGCCGAGATCGATTGTTTCTACTCCACCGGTGACGCCGAGGAGGTCTATTGGTGCTACACCTCCGATGACGCCGAGGAGATCGGTGTCTAGTGACTTAAATGATAAGAGTTTGAGTTTGTCGGTGAAGAAGGCGAGATCTGAGATAGTAGAAGGGGGTGAGAAGACTCCGGATCGGGTTAAGAAGACCCGATCGGAGGTTTGCAGGGAGATCGTCAAGTTCGGGGAGTTAGAGACAGTTGCGTTGAGGAAAGTGAGCTCATTGCCAGCTCAGAGTTTGGAGAAGTCTGATGAGAAAACAGAGGATGTGGATGTAAAAACAGAGGAGACCGTTGAGGAAAAGAAGCAGATCACAGAGGAGGAAGTCAAAGATGTCTGTCAGGAGATAGTCGTCTTCGCTGATTCGAAAGAAGATGAGCAGATTCACAATGACGATCACGAGGAGGAAGAAGAAGTGGAGAAGAAGAGTGTTGATGTGAAAGAGATGAATGCACCTAAGGAGGATATAAAAAACAGAGTTTGTGATGTTGAGGTTAAAAAGTACAGTCAATCTCAAAACAGAGTAGCTCCATCTCCCTCCGCCGTCCGTAAACTTCCGCCGCCGGTGATAAAAACGGCAGCTTCGGTTTATTCGGTCCCACCAAGTACAGGTTTTGATCCGAATCTCAGTGCTTTCTTTCATCGGCCGCTAGTTTCTTACTCTGTTTCGATGAAACCTCTGTTTTTGACAACTGTTTCTAGGTACATTTGCGGAGAAAGAAGAGAACTTTACACATTCACAGAGCAAATTGCAGAGTTTGGGTAAGATTCTTGATCACTATATAATTCCATTTATATGTTCAGCGAAAACAGAGTTTTTTTTTTTTTTTATCACAATAGGTTTGAGTTATATCGTATATAAATGATGTAATGATATGAAACAGTGGATCTGGTGATGTGGAGAGATGCATCAAGGTCGGCGCTTGTGTTCGGTTTTGGAACATTCCTCATAGTCTCTTCTTCATACGCCAATGATCTCAGCATCAGGTTCTGTCCTAGTGGGTTAAAAGGAACACACACATGATGTTTTTTTTTTTTTTGTCAACATTTTACACACACATGATGGTTAAGTAGCAGAAGAATAATGTGAATAATATATATATGTGCAGCTTCATATCAGTGGTAGCGTATATTGGACTCATCTACCTTGGCATAACGTTTGTATTCAAAGCCGTGATCTACAGGTAAATTATGCATAAATACCCCTCTCTCTCTCTTTTTTTTCATGTTGCTTGTGTGATTGGGTTTGGAACTCAAAGAATATATACATGAATGGCCGCAGGGGAGTAGTGGAGGAGGAGATGCATAAAAGAGTTGGAGTGAGAGAAGAAGATGTGAAGAGGATGCTCAGACTCATAATGCCTTACCTCAACGAGTCTCTCCTTCAACTAAGAGCCCTTTTCTCCGGTGATCCTTCCACCACACTCAAGGTTAGTCCCTCTTCTCTAACTTCCTCCCTACGTTAAACCTTGACAAAAAGGAGATAATGATGAGAGGATAATGTGCAGATGGGAGTGGTGCTGTTCGTCCTGGCTAGGTGTGGCTCTTCTATCACTCTTTGGAACCTCTCAAAATTTGGTAAACTTATGCTTCTTTCTTGATTTAGCAAGTGGCGTTATAAAGATTATGAGCGGTGACTTGTGTGTGAGAACAGGCTTTCTTGGAGCATTCACGATACCTAAAATCTTCATCTCCTACTCAACACACTTCTCCGCTTACGGTAATAATAAATCTTCTATTGTTTTCTGTTACATCTTGCATAAAGACAATCTAATCAAACATGTTTTATAAATGTCAGGGAACTTCTGGGTGAGGAGATTCCGGGACGCATGGGAATCGTGCAGTCACAAAAAGGCAGTGGCTTTGGCACTCTTCACCCTTGTCTGGAACCTCTCATCCGTTGTTGCTCGTGTATGGGCAGCATTCATGTTATTCGTTGCCTTGAGATACTATCAACAGAAGATGTTTTGGGCGACTGATCAAGATGATCTTGATGATGAGGAACATGTAGACGAGGACCACGTAGAGGAAGAAGTAGTTCCTAAACCCATTCATAAACCCAAAAGAGGTCCTTATACGATGATGCCTAATAAACTCAAAAAAATTTCTTAGAATTTCTTTTTTTTGCCCTCCCATATATAAACAATATGTAATCTCTTTAGTTTGTCGCTAGGTGTTCCTCTGTTACATTTGTTACTCCACTATATATATACACAGTTTCTTTGATCACCATAAATAATATACACTAGATGACTTCTGCTATATTGCTTGTATATATTTGAATTTATAATAATTTTGACAAATTAGACTGAGAAATTTTGATTTGTTAAAAGAATAACATAAAATTTTATTTCATTATATTAATAAGTTTAACACATATATCTCATAATTATGAAAAGGTAAAAAATAGAAATAAAATTACCAAAGGAGTTTTTTGTTGTTGAAACTTACTACCATACTAGGTGATTTTTCCGTGCTCACGGACATAAATATTTATAAAATAAATATATTATAATAATTTATTGATATTTACTTTAAATTTTAAATTAATTTAGAATTTGTAGGTATAATTTATATGAATAATATTATATTAATTTAATTATATCTATAATTTTAGATATGTTATACTTTGTCAATTTTATTGTTTTTACGGTCGATTTAGTTATCATTTGGATATATTAGATTCTATCTATTTATTTGAATTCAACTATAATCTTTTTTATCCTAAATATATTAAATTTTTGATTAATTGTCTTATTTGCATTTATGCCGGTTGTTATCTTAGAAATATAAGTTTATCTAGTAAGTTTATATATAACTTAAGATTTTTTGTGTTTAGAAAGAAAAAATTAAAACTAAATTGTCTGATTCTAAATTACATACATAAGTAACTAACACATTTTTGGAAGCTTATGAACACATATCAATATTTACAATATTTAGATTGATTGGAAGAAAAACTGAAATTTATTTTAAAAAAAAAGGAATTTTGATTTGCTTAAGTATTTTGATTATGGTTATATTAAGTTCCACAAACATAAAAACAGAAATTAAAAATCAAAAGAGTTATTAAGAAAACATATAATTTTAAAAATTAAAATATATTATATCTACTTCGCTAAATTATATAATGTTATGATATATTAAAATAATTGTAGTTATTTAATAAAAAAAATTTATTTTTCGTTTTATTTCTAATATCTGTTAAAATATGCAGTAAATATTTCTTATTGTTTTTGAGAAATTATATTATATAAGTAAAATAGAATTTATATGTTTTGTTGTACTGTGAGATATTATATTCCAATAAATATACTAAGAATATAAAAATTATAAATAATTATCTAATTATTCAATTAAACATATATCAAGAATACAAATTATAAAAAATAATTCAGTTAAACATATATCAGTTTATGTTACTTAATTATTTTATGTATTCATCTAATAAAATAGATAGATATATACCAAAAAAAAATAATTACTTTGAATATATATACATATATATATATATATATTTTTAAAAATTATTTTTTCAAAGAAAAAAATATTTCTTTTTTCTAATATCAAGATTAGTTGTGTGAATTTTTTTTATGGAATCACATTATATACAAATAATTTTTTTATGTAAGAAGATAAGTATTTTATTACTTCAAAAGTATATTTTATGTTATTTAAAATATATTTAAATTAAATATTACTATTTTGTGAATTTTCCTTTTTTATGAAACCATATTTCTATATACTTATATTTTCGTTTTAAATAGTTTTGGAAACTTTATAAATGTTTCCTTTTTATTTTATATTGTTATTGTTATTTGAAAATTTTTAAAAAGGAAATAATAATTTTTAAATCTATTTTTTCAATTCATTAGGGATATCATAGTAATCAACTATCGTGAAAGTTAACATGAGCGCGACACATAAGAAAGTGACTTCTCAAATAATATTATAGAGATATGAGATGTGAGATATATCTAATATTTAAGTTTGAAAAGATTCTATCATAATACTTGGATATATAAATATTAAATTTATTTTAGAATTCTAACCAATATTAATTACTATGTATAGTTTAGTTGTGTACGCAATTAATCAATAATATTAGATTAATTTCAAGACATTCTGAAATATAATATAAGAGATCCCACTAAACATTCTAAAGACATTGGTATGCTTATTTTATTTTATATTAAATATAATATATAGTTAATAAGATTTGTATTCTAATCAAATATATCTATGAATTCAATCAATTTCTAGAAACTTCAAGATATAGATGATTTTTTTTTATAACTACATATTTATATTCCAATGAAAATGAAAATCATGTAAACTGCAATCAAATATAATATTATTTCATTATAACAAACTATGAATTAGCTATTTAAAATAAGTTAATACATATTAAAATAAGCCACATGTTCTCTACAAATATTATTTTAAAGATTGCTTAAAGCAGAATATTTAATATAGTAGAATATATAATGTTTTGAAGTATTCTTAAAATTATATTTTCATTCGTACTTAATTCCACTTATTTAATTATTTAAACAATACATGCTATACGTGTTATACTCAGTGTTATACTCATGAAGACCTTAAAATTTTGATCTTCTAAAGGACAATAATAAAATTATGAACACGGTATACAGTATTTACATACAATAGAGTTTCACTAATTAATTTTTTTACAAATTAATTAATATATATTACGTTATATATCATATAATAAATATGATTTTAGAAATTGGATTGAACAAAATATTTAGAATTCTATCATAATCCTGATCTCCATTTATTTTATAATATTTAAATAATAATATAATTTAAATTGATTAATATAAATTTAAACTGATGCTTCATCACTCATAATTATCAAGAACATAATTAATAAGCAAATTTCAAAAATTATGGAGAATATGTCAAATAAGAAAAATTACTTCTTAAATAATAATGTAGATTGTATCAATTAAATAAGTAATCTATTTTAAATTAATTAATCATAAATGAAGCTAATATTAATAATTTTAAATCAGTAAAGATGAGAAGGGGAGATAATTCCCTCCTACATTGAGCCGGTAAACATTCTTACGAGCAATGTTGTTATCTATAGTAACTGCACTTGAAGACCCTATCAATATAGCAATGTTGTTATCTATAGTAACTGCATTTGAAGACCCTATCAATATTAAAGTCCCATTAGTGTTGCTGTAAAGATCGGGCATTGAAGTCACCTCAATACCATTCACAAAGGCATAGGTCTTAGGTGCTGATTCAGGTGTGAAGGCATCAAAGGCAAACAATACTTTAATTTTAAAGGAAATCAAGTATTTTAGTAGCCTAACTCTTATTCGTTAATGTCACTATGACTCTAAAAAACAGTAATGATAAGTAGCAACATCTAAATTGAAGATAGCGACTTTAGATTATTTCCAGTGGTTATCTATCACAAAATCTAAATTATATCAATATTTTTGCAACATTCTTTTACATAAGAAAAACATAAGCAAAATATAAGTGTTTTTTGAGGAAAACTTTTGAACTTTTGTTTATGTAGCATTACCAGCATTTCCGGCGTAAGCAAGCGGAAACAGGTTAGTCGAAAGAGCATCTGCTAATTCAAACAAGGAAACTCCAGTATACTTTTTCCTGTTCCCGAAAACCTCAAGCGCCGAAAACTCCCGATCAATAGTACCAGCCCCAACCGTCGTTATCTAGGGAGTTGTGTTCAATAAAATAAAAGGTTTTGGACTGTAATTACCAGCTGAGAACGAAACAAAGAACCCTCTTTTCATAGTAGAGAATGTTTCAATGGAAATATTGTCGTTATAGTATTCATGCGGTGGACCGTCGAGAGAGATGGACATAATATTGACGTTATCCTCGATGGCTGAATCAATCCCAGATAAAATATCCGAGCCTTGACAAATGCCATCGCCCCCAACATACCTTGTAGATAGCTACTCGAACGCTGTGGCCCATCCCACGAGCATTGCCGGTGGCGAACCGTAGAAGATTAGCGACTTTAACGACAGATCATGCGGCGGTTGATGACGTGCGGGTTCCATGACCATAGGCGTCTCTTGGAGATTTTAAGTCTTTACATTCGTCGACTATCAAATTCGTATTGCAAATCTAACTAAATTTTTGAAAGTCAGTTCTATATATTTTTAATATAAGACCTAAATTTTTTAATCTAAGATATAATTAACCGAATTCAAAATGAGTTATAATCCAAAATGAATATTAGAACGAGTTGTAAATTATAACCAAATCAATTATCCCATAAACATTATTTACTAAATGATTTATACATGTGTCATCACCACATGCAATTTCAACAAAAATTGATGACTTGACTTTGAAAAATGATTAAATGTTATTAACTTAATTATAACACGTACAAGTTTCCTTAAAAATATTTATTATTAAAGAATTTTTTTTTAAAAATATGGTAATAAATATTAAATCATATATCACTATTAGTTTAACTTTTTCTATAAATATTTATTTTAGCAAAACTGTTTAGATATATTAATCATTAATAACTCATACATTGGAAAATTTTAAAAGGAAAGTTATACTTAAATAATTATTTATGTGTATGAATATAAAATTAATAATTTCCAAATATATTTTTAAAAAATAAAAGAATATTATATTTATAATTAATATTTATGTGTATGAATATTATATTATTAGAATTTATATATCTAAAATAGATATATTTAAATTAGGTGATAAGAAACAGATTTAAATAAAGAATATCTAAATACAATATAAATTACAAATATATTTTATAAATGTAATTTTAACTCTACTGAAATTTATTAATCTAAATAAAAATGTTAAACCTAATCGAAAGAAATAAAATTCCTAAAATGTAGTTATGATTTTTTTTCTTCTAAATTGGTAAAGTTAAAATAAAAAATAATAATGTCGTAATGTAAATTAATGTTTAAAAAATAAAAATTATTATATTTAAAAATATTATTTATGTGGACAGTGCTTGAAAACGTTTAGTTATTAACCGAACCAGATTAACGAAAGGGACTCTAGGGAGAAGAAAACTGAATCCAAATCTCAAAAACCCAAAACCCTCCAAATCC